TCTTCTGTCACAGTTCTGGCCCCTCCTGAGTGCTCTAGGTATAGCATGTCCCATGGGTGCTACACCAGCTGGAGATAGGGGCTATTCCTTCCCCTATACCGTCAGCCAGGTGCTTGTGACTGTGTAGTGTCAGAGACAGGATTAACGCAGGAGGGCCAGGAGAAATTATTCAGTTAATGGCTTTGCACACAGCACACCTGCTCAGTCCACTCCCCACTGAGGCAGGGCAGAGCTGCATGTGTGAGTAATGGTCTGACACACAGGAGTCCTGGTAAGAGACTCACGCCTAGGTTCCCTCCCCGTCCGATCCATCTTTGCTGCCCCAGCAATGCAAAACAATGGAACCTGGCCTCAGCTCAGGCCCAGCTAGCTCCTATCCCAGCCCAGCCCATTCAGGGTAGGGTGACCACCTTTTCAAAAGGCAAAAGCGGGACACAGGCCGGGAGCCTGGTCCCCTCTTTTTCCCCCTGGAGGCCCCACTCCCTGCTCCTCCTCTTCCACCAAGGCTGCACCCCCTGTCCAGGCCGGAAGCCATAGCTGGGCCATGGAAAGATCTGATCAGGGAGCCAGTGCCTCTGTTTGGAGCCCCAGATCGTCCACCTCCCCTGGGCAGGGGACTGGGGTGACAAGAGAATGCTGCTGCCTATGTCCCTGCCCCTCAGGACGCATCCCCAGAGAAGGTGGAGAGTCTGGGAATTCCCACAGCAGCCTGGGCTCCCGGGGTAGCTGTAACCGTGCTTTTGTGGGTCACAACTGTGAATACCAAATTCAGGACAAACTGCTGAGAAATGGGTCAGACAGACCCCAAAACTGGTGATTATTCTCCCATGAAATATACCAAACCAGGAACAGAAAATAAACTTCTGTTTCACCACAATGGCTGACAAGAATCACAGTAACTTGCCAGTATAGACAAGCCCTTAGTGATTGTTGGCTCTTAGATATTTTCAGCTTGTAGCAGGCTGGGCAGAAACACTGTCCCACTATAAGTGATTTCAGCTCTCATTTATGGCTGACTTAGAACAACGCTTCCTTAGCTCTCGTCCCCTAACGGCCGTACTCTACTTGCACTATATTGATGACATCTCCATCATGTGGACCCATGGAAAAGAAGCCCTCAAGGAATTCCACCATGATTTTAACAATTTCCATCCCACCATCAACTTCAGCCTAGACCAATCCACACAAGCGGTCCATTTCCTAGACACTACTGTGCTAATAAGCTATGGTCACATAAACACCACCCTATACCGGAAACCCACTAACCACCATACTTACCTAAATGCCTCCAGCTTCCATCCAGGACACATCACACGATCCATTGTCTACAGCCAAGTTCTAAGATACAACCACATTTGTTCCAATCCCTCAGACAGAGATAAACACCTACAAGATCTCTATCAAGCATTCTTAAAACTACAGTACCCAGCTGCTGAAGTGAAATAACAGATTGACAGAGCCAGAAGAGTACCCAGAAGTCACCTCCTACAAGACAGGATTATCATTTCAAAGGTTTTTTTTCTTCTGTTGCTGATAGCTCATCTCAATTGATTGGCCTCTTACAGTTGGTATACGTACTTCCACCTTTTCATCTTCTCTGTATGTATAAATATCTTCTGTCTGTGTGTTCCATTCTATGCATCCGAAGAAGTGGGCTGTAGCCCACGAAAGTTCATGCCAAAATAAATGTGTTAGTCTGGAAGGTGCCACAAGGACTCCTGTTCTTTTTGCGGAAACAGACTAACACGGCTGCTACTCTGAAAGCTCTCATTTGAGCACTTAAAATAACAAATGCTCCTAATGGACCCTATTTTGCTGTACCTTTGAACAGTGGGGAGGAACAAGATAAACCAGACTGGGGACCCTTAAGGAGAGTCCACACCTCCTTGCTAGGATACCGGTCCCCACCCCTCTTCCTTTCAAAGGGCTCTGGCATTTGAGCCCCTGGCTTAATCAGGGAATTTCAGCTGAGGGTGACCCCATCATTTGGGACAGGGTAAGCCTAGTTCTGCTCCCTTTTATTCATACAATAAAGACAGCAACACTGATAATAACATTTCTCTACCCCTGCATTCATTACTACGTAATTTGTAAGCCAGCACCAGCCAAAGTTGATCACTTGGGCAGCACAGGTCGGTCTGCTGGATGCCTAGGCAGAGTAAGTGTGTTCATGTAAATACAGTTTGCTCCTGAAGTCTCTCCCCATTCCAGCCTGCTGTCAGAAGAGAACTCATTCGCACCCTCCTTACACAGGTTTATGCACTGGACGATATGCTGGGGATGCCTGTCATAGCAGTTGGACTGGACTCATTGATCCAGGAGGTCTCTTCCAGGCCTATGTCTCTTTGGGTCACATTTCCCATTTTGTGACACCGTGGGAGCTTATGTGAAGTTGCTTGTCCACTATGACCCTGCTCCGTGTCCAGGCCGATGGATTTGTCCCTTAATAGATGCAGGAGAAAGCAGTTATCCAGCGTTATCGCCTGGAAAAGTAATTGTTCTTGGGCTCTTGTGTAGTGATGTCACAGGAGTTTAATTCCCTGAGTTTCTGGTAATCTCAGCATGCTGGGCTGCCAGCTGCTCCCTCCCCCACCACTAGCCCCAGAGAGGAAGGATGGTTCAGTGGTTTAAGTGCTGGCCTGGGACTCAGAAGAACTGGCTTCAGGTCCATGCTGTTCCACCAGCTTCTTCTGTGACCTTGGGCAACTCTCTTAGTCCCTTTGTGCCTCAGCCACAGGTGTTTTATTATGGCTCATATCACTACCTACTGCCCAACTTATAAATAGGAAGGAGGCATTGCTTCAATAAATTCTACTGTTCCTGTTGTAGCCATTTGGTTCGATTGACTTCATGTGAAATTGTAGTTGCTGCTCAGTTCCCACCATACGAAAGAAGAAGGAGCACAGCACTTTTTGACAAAGGAGTTTTTTACTACTTCTCGTAACACAAGGACTAGGGGCCACCACATGAAATTAATAGACAGCAGGTTTAACACCAATAAAAGGAAGTATTTCCTTACACAACACACAGTCAACCTGTGGAACTCTTTGCCAGAGGATGTTGTGAAGGCCAAGACTATAACAGGGTTAAAAAAAAACTAGATAAATTCATGGAAGATAGCTCCATCAATGGCTATAAGCCAGGAAGGGAACGTGTAGTGTCCCTAGCCTCTGTTTGCCAAAAGCTGGGAATGAGCAACAGGGAGCTACCATCCCATACCCCGCACCTAGAGCCGCGACACTGCAAGTGTCAGGAAGCTCCTTCCATGGGGAGGGGGGGGGATGGTACCTGCAGGCAAGCTCAGGGCCGCGCGGAGCCACCTGCACCCCTTCACCGAATGGGATTTAACTCAGGGAAGCGCTCCAGAGCCCAACCCTCTGCCCCAGCTCTGAACCCCCTTGAACACCCTTACTCCAGCCCAGGCGCCACACCCGAACCCCTAGCCATCTCCTGAATCCTAAGTCCTGCCCATACTCCACATTCCCAGCCCAACCCCCTGCCCTGAGCCTCCTCCTGCACTCCAAACGCCTCATCCTCAGACCCACCCAGAGCCCACACGCACAGTTGGAGCCCTCACCCACTCCTGCACCACCCTCCTGCCTCATATTGCAGCTCCCTCCCACACTCTGAACCCCTCATCTTTCTCCCCACCCTGGAGCCTAGGGGGCCCTACAAATTCTAATAGCCCTGGGCCCCCAGAAGAATTAATCCGGCACTGCTTACATATCACTACAAGCTAAGTTAGACGGGCTTTGCTCTGGAGATAGAGAAACAGAAATGATCCAACCTACCTTCTTTTGGGAATCCAAGGGGCTCTTGGGACCAGTGTTGTAGCTAGAACAGGAAAACTGGGTGGGCCCAGCTTTCAGGAGCCCCATCACCCCCTACAGGGGCAGACTAGGGTTGTGGAAGTAGAGCAAGAACTGACAGGGATTTGAACGGGATTTCAATGCATACAGTCTCTTCTGTGACCAAGAGTCAAGCTAGCTGTAATCCTAATAACGCGAGATTTGTAGAAGCGAGGATTGTGTGAGGCGAGTGGGAAAGAACTGTGTGAGAAGTTGTTGTGACCTTGTGTAGATAAATATAGAATGTAGACTAGAGTCTAAATAGATGTGAAAAATAAGATATCAGGATGACCTATGTATAAACAAAATGCAGCTGCTGCTCATTATTGTCTGTAACAAAAGGTATAAATGTTTGCTGTAATTGTTTGCCTGTTGAGAGACCTGCCTAGGAGGGGGAGACCCTGTGTCCTAGTGCACTCTCTCCCTCTATGCAATTGCTTGAGAAAATAAAGTGTCTGACTTTGCTGTGCCCAACCAAAAGAGTGAGAACTCCATTTTTCTCTGACAATTTGGGGGCTCGTCCAGGATGTCAACGCCCGCTGAGACTGCGACAACTGCTGTGGACCATTCCCCTTCGAACCCCACGGTGCCACTATAGAGGTAGGACACCTTTTGAAATCTCCATTGGGGTATTGGAGGAGGACTGTCCGTGTGGCCGTCTGTCCCTGTTGGGCTTACGCCATCTGAACTTATTGACCGTGCAGCAGGATCAGATGCAGAGCGGTGCTGGGGAACTGTTTTGCCACCCCCAATAAGGTTAGTTTGAAGTGGTACTGAGGACTTAGTTTGCCACCCTCAATAAGGTAGTTGTATGCGGTACTGGGGACTATAGTTTGGCTGCCCCGAATAAGGTTAAAGCATAAGGGAAATGCATTAGGTTAATGCACCAGTGCAGAGGGGTTGTGGTAACGCCCTCAGAGAAGAACACAGGTGTGTTCAGTCCGGACAGAGGGGTTGTGGTGACACCTCAGGTTAACTAAAAAAAGGAGGAAAAAAGATAAAAAGAGGAGAAAACCGATGCCTCATGGTATTTAGAAACAGAGGCCTTGGTGTGTAGGATTGGAAAATGGGTGAGGGACAGTCTAAGCATTCTCCCTCACCCCCTAAGGGTACCCCAGCAGATTTCATGTACGTACATTATGGTTCTAGAACCTGCAGATATTTAGAAAATTGGAATCTTTACATGTGTGAAAATCCATCTAAACAATGCCCACTAGAACGTACCTTCAATCCAGATAAGATCATACATCTCAAAGGAGCTTTTAATCACCAAAAAGCCTCTGACACACAATGGGAGCAATTTGTCTATTGAGGAAAGGAACGGGTTAATTTGAAATTCAGATTGGCCCAGAGATAAAGAGAAAGCTGCTCTGCATTCAAGGTCAAGAATCAACACAGACCATGCCAAGTACAAAGCAAAACTGCTTTTAGCCCCAGCTGGTTGTGAAAAAATATAGACAGAGGCAAACCAAAGGCAACACAAGTTACAGGACTGAGATTACATTTGCAAAGCTTAACTGTTCAGTGAGATCCAACAGTCTGGCTTTGCGACCCTGGAGCCGGCGTGGTTTGGGGACGCTGAAGAAGCCACAGGCAGCCGGCCTGGACTGGAATCTCTGAAGAGACGCTGCAGGAGACCCCAGGGTGTAAAAGAACTGCCCTCCCAGGAGTGGAAGCAAGTTGGAGATTCTGGACAAGCTGTATACAGGATAATCTCCTGTCCACCTCTCCCCCTTCTCTGGACGTTATACACAGATGTGGGACATTAATGTTTTTCTTCCCCTGAGTGATGTGGGAGCGTTCCCAACACTCTCTGTTGTTGTTTATTATTTTATTAAGGAAGCTTTAAAATTCAGTCCTATGGTGTGTTTTCTTTATCTTCCCCCAACGATCCTGCGGTGTCAGTCTGATCACCTGACACGAGGGATAGATTGGTAACAGAAATATGTCAGTTTTGGTGGAAATTGAGAAAGGGGGGAGCCCTGCAGAATGCACACCATCTATTTGTTTTGCCCTTGTTATTTTATGTTTGCTTTGCTTGGTATTGTTGGTGTTATATGTTGAGGATTGCATGATTAAAAGTGTGCCTACTCTCAGCTGCGGTAAGTCTGAGAACCGGAGAGGGGTTTAGCATTCCTCTGTCCACTCCGGTTGACCGAGAAGGGTGTCAGGTGGATCTACCCCAGTCACAGCAGGACTGGGCAATAGAGAAGTTGGAGAAAAGGGAAGAGATGTGTGCTAGATGTGATAACTAGAATTGAGAAATTAAGAGCATAGATCATGAATCAGGCAGCAACTCAAACCTACGCCCAGGGCAAGTTGCAAGCCTGGAGACAGGACTTCCAGGCAGAAAAGGAAGCACTGGCTAAGCAAGTACCGGTACTTCAGGGACTTGTCAAAATTTAACCATTTGTGCTCAGCATACACCGTAACAGTAGTGTGTTTGCCACAAGAGAAAATTGAATAGTTAAACGCCAATGGGCCATGTGTTTTTGCCCAGGTGGCAAGCCTCACGAGGGAGGACTCGGGTAGCCTTGTGAGTAAGAATGTTTACAGGAAGAGACCAGGAAGGGTGGAGGGCTAGTTGAGAAGCCTACCATCCTAGCTAAATTGATAGTGGAACAAGCCGGTGCCCATGGAAAGGACGGTTCAGCGAGAAAAGTAGGATCGGGCCCAAGCGGGTAGGCAACAGATAGAGTATTTGGAAAACAGTTTGGAAACTTTGAGGGCATAGTAGAAGGAAAGGAGTAAGTAATTATAAGCATGGGGATTTCAAATCCCCAGGACAATAATTGAAATGGTAAATTCTGAGTTGATTGGGTGTCATTTTGGGAGACAAGCAAGTGATTTAAGGAAAGAGAGGGAGAAGTTAACTCTGTAGTTGCTAGAGGGAATCAAGCAGTGAAACGTGGTAGGAATGTCTGTAAGTAATCCAGGCAAGAGGTTATTTAAGTGGAATTATTCAACCATGAATACATTAGTCGAATTTGCTGAAGAACATTCCTGCTGTGTACAATCTGTGTTTTATAAGTTTGAGATGAATTGGTATTGTTTAAAGTTGCAAAACCAAGAATACTTTTGCCAGATACAGGAAACTAGTATTGTTTAATATGGTATTTAGCATTTAATCCTTAAGGTGACTTAATACTTTACAAGACTTAAAATGTTTTAAATAAAGACCAAAGGTTATGGCTGCAGCAGGGTAGTCAAAGCCAGGAGAATAAAAAAAATGAATTTGGTTTTGTGTAACAAAATAGCAGATAAAAGATCTAGTAAAGAGAGAGAAGGACAGTGCCCCTGGCTCTGTGTGGTCGAGCTGCCACTTTACTAGGGGTGCATGGAGATTTTGTAAGCACAAAAGAAATAGTTACACCTTATGTAGAAATTAATGTGACTAGTATTGTGGAAGTTTCCGTATGGAGGAAATGTGCATTTTCCTCAGAACATGTGCAGTGTATGTTGTAGCAGGGGTAAAAGAAATGCAAACCTACCATGCTATTTAATTAAAATCATATTGGAACTCCAAAGGGAGCCACAATAGGTTGTGTTGTCTTTTTCAGATCGCTGTGTGTTTGAAAACAGGAGTTAAAAGTTAATTGTGTCCCTTTTTAAGTAAGAATCTTTAAGCTGTGGATAGCTTTGGATCCAGAAGCAAGCCAGAAAGCATCTGTATTAATGCAAATTATCTAACTGATAAGGTAGAAGCCACTGAAACCTGGGCTGCCTATGAAACAAATACAAGAAAATATGGGGTAATTCCTCTGTTTTGCCTGAAATCAACAAGAGTATTTGTATATAAAGGAAATATTTTAAGCAATGACTGACTGCCCCAGAAGGGGTAGACCTCTGTTCTTTTTGTCTTTCAGAAAACCAGAGAAAACTGATGGCAGCTGAACAACATTCAATGTACCATGCATTTACTGGCACAATAGGAATTATGTTCAGTGTTCTATGTCCTGTCTTCTGATGTTTGTCTCGTGGCCAGAATTGTTGTGTTTAATATTTTCATAAGACAGTCTAATTCAAAATTAAATAGAAGGATTAAATCAAAAAACAGATACTTGTTTTATTCAACTTGGAATACAAAGTGTTTGGCTAAATCAGGAAAATGTGATATACTAAAGTCTAATACATTTGCTTAAGTCAGAAAAAAAGAAATTTCACTGGCCAAATCTTTTAATTGAAAAAAAATTGTTGTTAAAATTTGCATACCAACAGTCTTTGGAAGCAAGGACATGAAAGGTTAACCCACTCCCCATATTGCACATGGGATCCTTCTGGCTACCTCAGATTTCTAGCCAGAGGGCTGGGGAGGGAGGGAAACTATTGGACACCAGAGGTTGTACTGAGTGGACTCCTCAAAAGTGGACGTGCTTGTCCTGGCTTGTTGCTCCAAAGCTCTGTAACAAAGTTATTTTACTGGAAGGGTATATGTAGCAGATATTGAATAATAAGACTAATGTACTGTATAATGGCAATGTGTTTGTGTTCATTGCTAGGAAAACATGTATGAGTGAAGAGTGGAAATTTCCTTTGTAGGTTAAAAGAAGCCAAGAAGGGGAGAAGGAAAAAGAACAGAACAAATAAAAATAAAAATAGCTAGCAAGCTCAGTCCAAAGATAAGATGTTGGCTCCGTTCAAGGACACTGCACAGCTAAGACTTGGCTGACAGCCAAGAAAAGGCGGGGCCTGAATGTACCCAAGCAGCTATGAGATCTGCAAAACACTGCCAGGCATTAAAGAAATGTGTTAGGTTTCTTTTCACACAGGTAAAGAAGCGCTACCCAAAGACCCTAGCAGCCCTGCCACTCCTTGGAACCAGGAGACTGGATCTATATAAAGGTCCATCAGTGAAAGACTGCCCTGGCTCCACACTGGAAGGGCCCTTTCAAAGTCCTGTTAACCACCAACACTGCCGTGAAGTGCCAAGGACTACCTGCCTGGACCCATGCTTCGCACGGAAAAAAAAAAGACCCCTCCACCTCAGGAGGATTCTCCTACTGATGATTAGACTATTTCTCCTTCTAGGTCTGCTGTGCCTTCTGGACAACAGGGAAAAAGGACAAGGCGAAGTGCTAGTAACCTCTCCCTTGTCCACTGACAGACCTACTGTGCCTTTGAATTTTTCTAGAAGAAGCAAAACCATTACAGGATGATGTGCTGGTAAGCTCTCCCCTGTATGATGCTGAACCATGACTGATTCAGGAAAAGAGAAGAAGGAACACTCGCTCCATTGAAACCACTAAAGTCCAAGGATTCCTGCCTACAAAAGACATTAAGAAATGACCCTGGTGAAGAAACAAAGAATTATAGAGTGGAAGGAAGAAACTTGTGGGACCCATGCTTGGGAATGTGGTATTGATTGGATTTTGGGGTTTATTCTACAGGCTGCGCCCTGTGTTTTGGATAAGACCTTCAGCATGTATTGCCCTCCCTAATTGGATTTTAAATGACAAGTACCAAAGGCGCCTTGTTGCCACTGCCCCTGCCATCTCCTCCATTACACTATTACCCCTGTAACACATCCAAATACAGACAATGACATATATCTGATAAAACAAATGGCCAAAGCCTTCACATTTTAGTGATTTATTTAAATATTGTTTGGGAAAAAATATATTTAAGGTTCAGGATATCCCATATAAGCGAACAATTGAGTGGAAACAGACTGGTCAGAGGAGATACTAGTATATGATATCACTACAAATGAACCCCAAGAATCTGTAATTGAAATTGATGGGTTCTATAGTGAAGTAGATATGATGGCTGTCCCTGGAGTTTGCAATGTGTTAGATGAAAGAGGCCCTTATTGTTATTTGGTCACCCAATTAGTGAATAATTAAAAGAATACCCAAAGAGACTGTCAAATTTACATTACCCTTATCCAATTTCCAGATCACCTCGACATACCCAAATTGCTCCCAGGGAGCTGCCATTAGATTATCACAACAAAGGGCCTGGGTTATTTCCTCTAGAAAGAAGAGGGACTTGACCGGGTCCCTATGGGATGGGGCCAATAGTGTAGCAGCAATTTGGAATATTTTCAAGAGCCAAGAACATGATGAGAAATTGGGGCAACTAGAAAAGGCCACTGGTCTTATTTCTGGAGCACAGCTGACCAAGGTGCAAGGAGTTGGTGAATTACATGCTATTTCTACCTTTAGTTAATAACCAGGAGCTGTTGACAGAGATGGTATTGAAGATCACTGAGGCTGGGAAGGTATTGCAGTGGGATTTGGCATGTTCAGAATTCAAGATTTCCTGAATGACCAGCTGATGGCCATTCGGAGTGATCTCGAGCATGAGGCATAGCCTACTGCCCTTACAGATACCTCCGAAATGCCATCTGATGTATGGCCATGGAGACATACTTGGAGATTTTCAGGATGGAGTTGTATATGCTCACAGTGCTCCACTCAAGCATATGGGCCGGTAGGAGGGGTGTGGGCTCCCAAATACTGAACCCTGACGGGTCCATGGGGAGGATGAATGTGGGACTAGATTATTCACCATGATATTCACCAGGACACCTGGTATGCCTAGCCGATTTGTTGTTAGTGCTCCTGGAATAACACCCGACATTTGGATGGGGATAGGGAGTCAATGGACATTTTGGCCGTTAGAACCTCCACCGCTTCAGTGTACATGTAAACTGAAGCCAGGGGAAGTTGTCACTGTTCATGCCAATGTTTGCTGGGAGGGTAGGGGAAAAGGAACTACCCTGACAGGACACCTAGGCTTGGTCTACACTACCCCCCTAATTCGAACTAAGGTACGCAACTTCAGCTACGTGAATAACGTAGCTG